ATGTGCTCCCAGTGTCACTGGAACGAGCAGCTACACTGAATAGCTCTTCGTATGAGAGCCAACGCAGGCATTTGGATGTTACAAACTGGTTACCGCAACCGGCGCTGGCGCCTCCGTCTTCGTTCCGTCGGCCGTCGCAGCGTTGAGTGGTGCGGACTGGTCACCTCAATAGGTCGTTGCATAGCGTTTTTTCTGTGATATTTTTCTTGTAGGTTGTGTGTGCAGGCATAGTTACAGTATGCTTTGTAGTTTCACAACACCATTTTGTAGCATGGTAGAGGATGCTATTGAGGGGTTTGTGGAGCAGTTGTACAAACATTTTAAGGGATTGTCGTGAAGCCCTAGTATACCCTTTTCGAACACTGTTCTTGTATACATCACCTACTTCTGGTGTATTTTATTTACATTAATTTTTTCCTTTCCCACCTTCCTTTACAGAAGCGACTATCCCCACGCCACTGTTCCCTTACGCCTGTCTCCCACGAACATGCGAAGCCGAAATCTCATCGCGGACTCCGAAACGTAAAGCGCGCGAGGATGTGCGACATGGGCATCCATTATTGTCGCTTTCGCCACGGCACCCAGGGTTCCTAACATTTCCGAGCCGCATGTGTGGCCTTGACGGGCGGTTCGAGATGAAATCCCCAGCCCCATCTAGGAGGAAGGGTTCCTCCTGGGAATCCTGGCCTGTTCCATTGCGCCTCACCTTTTCTCACCTCGCTTCACCGTTTTGTAGCTTACCTCGCTTCCCCCCACCTCGCCTCGCCTCCTCGCACCTCTCCGTTACGGTTTTCCACATTCCCTTGCGGTAGGCAGTAGCAGCAGCCTTCATCATCCCTTCTTGCCCCAAACCAAGCGCTATCTCCAGCGAACGCTGATCGCGCTCACACACACAACATGCTTTTTGTGAGTGGAAGTTGGGACGGGACACGTCCACGTCATAAATGTGTGGAGCCCCAGCGGAACCCTGGGCGCCGTCATAAACGTATTGGGGGCGTGGGCTTTAGGGGGTAGGCGCGAGATGGTCCAACCAACCAATGTGCTTTGTGAGTTACGTGACCGTGGCCAATGACGCCTAGAAACGGGATAGACACGACTTTACTGGAAGAAATCTCTCTAGGGAGTTTGTTGTTTGCAGAGTTGGCCAGAATCTCGCCACCGAAGAATGCCTTTGCTGCTGTTTGTCGACGTAGGTAGACTCTAGCAGAACGTCAAGCCTTAGTGAGATTCCTGAAGGCCTTGCTAGTTTTCCTAAACGTTGCGTCTGCCTGTTCGACAGCTACCACCAGCCATTGATTTCATTGACATTTTTAATCGACTTAGTCCCCCTCTTTTTGCGCATCGCAGTTCCCCACGCTCCACGCGAAGCAGTATGTTTTTGCCGGCGCATTTCACGCGAAGCACCGATACGGGATCGCTATACGTCCATCATAGTGCGGATATGCTGCTACTATTATTGTGATTGGGGCACTCGTTGAGTGATCTCGTTGCGTAACCCCTTATCGCTTAACTTTGGCTTCTCTACGAGTTAGAGCCCGTTATCACTCAACAAGTCGTTAGGCCGTTAGAATTGGAGAAACTGTATTGCTGCCTAGAGAATTACATTTTTAATTCAAACTAGAGATCTGTGGGCGCAATAATATGATCAACAGCAGCATATGTCGACGCTGCGTTCCTGTAACGAAACGGCTTGTAACAAGCGAGGATGGCGAAGCCAGGTGCTGCAGGGGGCGTGGGGAAGCTGCCGCGCGGAGCATGCGGAGCAGGGCTCATTTTCACGGCTTGGCGCCGCTTGTCGTCGCTATAATCGTATCGATAAGCTTCGCCGTTCCTGCTGCTCCGCTCGCATTAAAGCAAAATCCACGTACGTTTCCAGCTCATGATTTCCCGTTGCGCGGTGAATCCACATACTGTCCGTTACAATGTACCGTACTTGCATTGCACCTTACATCGCACGTTTCATCCCACCTTTGCAGCCCATTCCGTTTCCCTGTCACTCCGTTCACTTAGAAGAATGCCCTAAATCTTGTCGAATCGTTCTAAGAAATACCATGTGGTAACCACATTGTTGCAAAATTCCCACGTGCCAAATGCGCATTCCTTCCTCTTGTTACAGGCGCTTGTGACTATGCGACCGGGAGCTGGATACCCGCTCCGGTGCGCTTCCCTCGTTACAGTGGCGTCAATACGACGAGCCGCTATCAGTGCAAGTACATGCGCGCGCTTTGGAATTGCGACGGCACGGGCAGGCCCGACAAAATATACCGCTCGTACCGCTGGCAACCGAGGGTGTAACCTGACTTACGTCAACCCGTGGGGCTTCTTGAGACTCATGCGAAACAAGGTGAGCGAAAAGTGCGCGAGCAATGCGAAAACAGCAGAAAGATTTTGCATTGCAAATAATTGCATTCACGATACCGCTTCACTCCCCCACCTCTACTCCCTACTTATCTCACTTCTCCCCTCCCCTCCCCCTCCTTTACTCCCCCCTTCCCTTCCCTCACCCTCCTCCCTCCCCATTCCCGTCCCGCATTTCACGCGCTGGATAACCTTTTTAGGCCGCTTAATAGCAGTTTGGTGTTGCTACAGTGAATCAACCGAACTCACCACATTGCCTCAGTATGCATACGTTGTTCTTGCGCCCGATTTCTTGTGTCCCCGTTACAGAAACTTCTGATGGTGGGGGATTCGATCATGGGGAACATGTACGAGTCGCTGCTGTGCCTCATCACCTCGGGACCGTTCACGCACCGGGTTAGTATGTCCTAGGCAGGCTACTTTTGAGTCGACTCAAAAGTCACCTCGCACCGGATTAGTATGTCCTAGGCAGGCTAGAGTGAATAGCAAGTTTTTGAGGCGCCTCATAAACGGGTTTTAGAAAAGCTAAAAAGAAGAGCTTGAGAAGCAGAGAATGAGAGAGAACGAAAACAAGGGGACAATGGCAGATGATGGGAGGCGATCGTTCACGCGCCTGGGGCTCGTATGTGCGTGTGTGTGTGGGTGCGTGGGTGGGGGGGGGTAGGGGGTATGTGTGTATGCATTGGTGAGAGGTGAGTGGAAGCGAGAGAAAGGTGTGTGCGTACTTTGTTCCACTTCGAAATAAACTATCACTTCCTCCCGCACCTCATGCGCTTGTGACTTATCCTCTTCCCCCCTCCCCACTACCTCTCCTCGCTTCCCCATCCTCCCCGCTCCCCTTCCCTCCCCCCACCCGATTCTCCTCTCCAGAAAGTAAGCTACCGCACCCCAAGCGGAGCGCGCTTCCGCGGATTCTCCTTCCCGGTTTCCGCTTCGAGATACACTACTACTTCCTCCCGCACCTCATGCGCTCCGCTATCGGCTATAACGAGAACGGCAAGAAGGGCAACCACGGGTATCAGATCGACGTGGACGTTATCGATCCAGATCTGCTCCACGTCATTCCCGCGTATCACGGGATTATATTTCACTCCATGGCTTGGTGGATGCAGAACGTTCCGGAAGGAGCAAGAAGAATAGCTATTTCCGCGGCGGGAAGCTGGTCGAAGTTTCCGACGTGGACGCGTATCGCGAGGCGATGCACAATCTCGGGCAGCACCTGAAAAATATGGACTACCCGGGCGTGCCGTATTTCGTCTCGTCCTCTCCGAAGCACTACAGCCCGCCGGCGAATGCCACCAAGGCCGGCGCGTGCGGCGCGACGTCCGTAGTTAAAGCCGCCGTCGCGCAGCTATACCCGACCACGCAGGAGACGGAAAACTTCTACGCGATGCAGAAGCTGTCTTTAACGGGTACGGGCAGCCCGATGCGGCTCCTCCGCGTGACGCGCCTGAGCGCGGTGCGGCCGGACGGGCATCTCGGCCTGTGGAGCGACGACATCGTGCGGAACCCGGAATTTAAGGATCTGACGAAGCGCATGGAGAAATGGCCGGGGGATTGCACGCACTGGTGCCTGCCCGGCGTGCCCGACGCGTGGGTCGACCTTTATTACCAATGCGCTTTTAGAACCGACGTTTGTCCAGCTCGCCAACGCGCTGCCCGCGCCGCTGCCGCCGTCGCGGGGGGAGGAGGCTGGCGGAAGAACAAGACGGGCGGAGGAGGGGGAGATTCGGGAGGAGGGAGCAGGGGGAGGAGGGGGTGGGAGACAACCCCTGTAGTCAACCCGCCTGTAGTCAAGCCACCTGTCAAACCACCTGCAGTCACACCCCCTGTAGTCGATCCACCTGCAGTCAAGTCTCCAGCTAAACCACATGCAACCAAACCTCCTGTAGTGAACCCACCTGTAGCCAAGACCCCTGCAGTCAAGCCTCCTGTTGTCAAACCCCTGCAGTCAAACCACCTGGAGTCACACCCCTACAACCAAACCTCCTGTAGTCAACCCTCCTACAGTCAAGCCCCCTGCAGCCAAGCCACCCGTTGTCAATCCCCCTGCAACCAAGCCTCCTGTAGGAAACCCTCCTGTAGCCAAGACCCCTGTGGTCAAACCACCTGCAGTCACAACCCCTGCAACCAAGCCTCCTGTAGTGAAGCCGCCATCAGCAAAATCTCCAGCTGCCAAATCGCCAGTTGTCAAGCCGCCATTGGTTCGGCCGCCTGTCACTTCCCCATCTCCGAAGGCACCTGCCAGGTCACCCATGGGCCCGAAAACACCTGGAGCAACACCTACTGCACCGAAGCCTCCGTTGAAAGCACCTGCAGGTGGAAACCCGCCACAGATTGTAGCACCTGGTCGTGTGGTGGTCTCCCCTGGGCTAGTGCAGGCTCCGGGGGGGAAAATAGGTGTCGTGGGAAGGTGGGGCGCAGGAGGAGGAGCAGGAGGAGCAGGGGGAAGGGGAGCAGGAGGAGCAGCAAGGGTAGGAGGAGGAGCAAGGGTAGGAGGAGCAGGAGGGAGAGGAGGAGCGGCAGGAGGGGGCGGGCAGAGTGTAGGACAAGGACAGGTGACTGGAAGTGTATCAAACAACACAAGCAAAACAAGGGTGGCAAATACTCTTTGGTCAGTTGACGCCACGGAATCTTGGTAATAAGCAGTCTACTATTGCCGGATGTATCGTGTATGCATTGATATAGTAGGGTAAGATAAAGTAAATGTCGTAGTGAGAACTGAAACGAGAATGATTGACTAAGGAACGAAAGTGATACAAATATGCAACCCTAGAAATGTGTACCCCATATAGGCTACCCCACTATAGCCTACACAACATTATAATTTGACACACCCCCATAGGCAAAGTGGGGGAGAACAAGGGGTCACAAGACCAGTCAAGCAAAACAAAGCAAAGCTCAGGGTGGATCACAAAGTCACCTCACCACACATTCCGAGCACAAGTTCAAGGCCAGAAGGTCAGTTCACATGCAGGAACACATATATATAAACAGGCTAAACAAGCAAGAGCAGGATATATATATATGTCACAGTACAAGCAAGGTCAAGAAGTGAGTAAGTGAGGCAAGACAGGTACAAGACCAAGCTGAGTACAGAAGCGCTGATGATCACAAGGCGCAAGTGCCTTAGTGAAGATATCAGCAGTGTTGGCCTCAGAGGCCACGTACGCAAGTCGCAACTGACCACGCTGCTGCAGCTCACGAGCAAGAAAGTAGCGGAGAACAATGTGCTTCGTTCTGTGCTCCAGGCGCTGCTCCCGACACAAGGCCAGCATGGCCTTGTTGTCTACGTACAGCACTGGAGGAGAACGAGGCGGCTCTCCGAGGTCAGTCAGCAGGTAGGTGAGCCAGCGAAGCTCCTGAGCAGCCATGGCTCCGGCGTAGATCTCAGCCTCACAACTGGAGCCGAGAACAGAAGACGAGCGAGTAGCCCGCCACGAAACAGAGCCGGAACCAAGGCTGAAGGGTGTAACTCTGTGACGACCGCTGTGTAGCCTGGTCGTCAGCCCAAGAAGCGTCTGCGTGCCCAGTGAGGACCACTGGACTCTGCCCTCCAAGCACTAGCCCCATGCCCGACGTACTGCACAAGTAGCGCAACACCCTCTTCGCTGCAGCCATGTGCTCTGGTCTGTGTCTCCTAGGAGCAACATAGCGTGCAAGAATGCTAAGAGGGTATGCAAGGTCAGGTCGTGTGCAGGTCATCAGGTACATGAGGCAGCCAACAAGCTCTGGGTACGGGCCACTCGACTCTACGGACTCATCCGAAGGCAGAGCTTAGAGCGAGTGGCGAGTAGGCAGAGGAGTGGCCTGAGGCGAGGAGTACGTGTAGCCGAAGCGCTGAAGGACCTGCTGCACCATGTGTGAATGAGTTAGGCTAATGGTTCGGCGTGCTCTGTCCCGGGTGATCTGCAAGCCAAGTAGCTGCGCAGTTCACCCAGGTCTGTGCAGTGTGTCTCTTCTGCAGCTCGGACTTCACGTGGGCGAGTCCAGCAGTGTCAGCAGTGGCAAAGACCAAGTCGTCGACGTACACGAGGATGTAGAACGGCGGCAGAGAGGTGTCGGTAGCGCAGAAACAACGACGGGTCGGCAGTAGAGGGAGCAAACCCAAGAGCCGCAAGCGTAGTCCTCAGTGTGTCGTGCCACTCGCGCGGTGCCTGGCGGAGACCGTAGACTGGCCGTCGGAGGCTCCACTCGGTGCAGGAAGGGAAAGTCCCAGTGAAGCCAGGTGGACGGCGCAGCCAGATCTCCTCATGCAGGCTACCCTGCAAGAAAGCAGTGCTGAAGTCAAGGGAGTGAAGTTCGTAGTCACGCTGAGCGGCTATGTGTAGCAGCACCCGAAGAGTGGTCATCTTCGGGGTGGGAGAGAAGGTCTGAAAGTAGTCAACTCCCTGCCGCTGACTGAAGCCACGAGCGACGTACCGCGTCTTGAAGACAGGTGGAGAACCTGGTGGCCACTTCACCCTGAAGATCCACATGCCACTGACGATGTTCGCCCCAGGAGGGGGAACTGCGTCAACGTAGGTGCCTGTGGACTTCCAGGAAGCCATCTTTGCATCCATAGCTGCCTGCCACTGAGAGGAGTAGGGACCCTCTACGGCCTCCGCGTAAGAGCGCAGAGTCGGGATGTCAAGTGCATCCGGGTCTCCCTCAGGGGTAAGCAGTACGGACACGAGATGAGGTGAAGCAGCAGCCAGACACTGGAACTCCTCCTGCCTGTCCTCAAGGACGTCCGTGCCAAGAGCACACTCAACCCCGACGGACGGAGGACAGAAAGACGCAGACTCAGCAACAAGACTAGCAGCGTAGTCTAGACGACAGCGAGCAGCAAAGTCGACGAGCTCAGCAACAAGAGCAGACGCAGCAGTGGACTCAAAGGAGGGGTCAGTGACGACAGTAGCAAGGAGACGCGTGACAGTAGGACTGGCAGCACGAAGAGAGTCCGACTCCGAGTTGGCAAGAGCAGGAAGAGAGGACTCAGGAGGAGAAGGCAAAGGGGCACGCAGAGGAGCAGTGGACGGACGCAGAGACATCCGGTGCGTGCCAGGGACAGGAGGAGGGCGCTGACGCGAACCGCGACCACTAGTGCGAGCAGCACGAACAGGCGACGCAGGACGAGACGCAGGCTCACGACGCTCAGCAAGACCTCCAGTAGGACCAGTGTAGGGAGAAGGAGCAGGCAGTGGGGAGGCCTGCGGAAGCTGTGACTGGGACTGGACAGGCGGTGGACACTCTAAGGGAGGAGGAAGACGAAGAACCTGCTGAAGGAGCGGAACGAAGTACTGCCGAGGGCGCGCGGCGTCTCCAGACACAGTAGGGACAGCACCAGCGCCAACACCACGGCCAGCTGCAGGACCTCCAGCAGGACCAGCAGCACCCGCAGCAGGACTAGAGCCAGCAGCACCTCCAGCAGCACCAGCAACACCCCCAGCAGAAACCGTCTCCAGGACTGACAGCAGTAGCCTCAGCGCCAACACCCTCAGCACCTCCAGCTCCAGGCAAACCCGCAAACCCAGCAGCTCCAGTACTCGCGGCACGAGCACCTCCGGGACCGGCGGCACCAGCATCCTCAGCAGCCGAAGAAGCTCCAGCAGTACGCCTCCAGCGCCGGGCAAACCACTGACGCAGCTCCTGTGGAGAGAGTGGCTCCCGCCCGAGACGAAGCACCCGGAGAACCTCCAGGCCCAGCAGCGCCAGACGCCACACGAGCAGGCCCAGCGGCCGCCGGCTCCGCACCCCCCAGGCTCAGCAGCTCCAGACGTGGCACCCCCAGGCTCAGCACCTCCAGACATAGGACCTCCAGGCTCAGCACCCCCAGGCGTAGCACCCCTAGGCTCAGCACCCCAGGCGTAGCACCCCCAGGCTCAGCACCCCAAGGCGCAGCACCCCCAAGCTCAGCACCCCCAGCAGTACCACCCGAAGGCCCACCACCCCCAGGCGTAGTACCCAACCCGCGCAGCACCCCCAGAGTCAGCACCCCCAGGCTCAGCACCCACAGCAGCACCAGAGTCACCAGTAACCTTGACCGGCTCGACCGCGTCTACCTGGGACACACCTGAAGGGGCAGGACCTTGAGGGGGGAGGGGGTCTACCGGGGGGGACCTGGCACAAGGAAGAGCGGTGGCGGGGAGAGAAGGAGTGCGGAAGGGGAAGAGGCGGTAGTAGGGGACCGACTCATCAAACGTGACGTCCTGAGAGGACAGACCACGACGAGAGGTGGGGTGGTAGAACTGCCACCCTGGCGCGTCACGGGGGAAGCCAAGGAAGACACAAGGAGCAGCACGAGGGGACAGCTTGCCCGCAGACAAGTCGCGGACAAACGCCCGAGATCCCCAGACACGGAGCGCAGACGCATCGCCTACCTTCCCGTCACCGTCCACAGCAAAGCTGGGGAGGTCTCGGCCTGGAGACCCTGGGGTGAAGGTTGATCTGATGCGCCGCGTACCGAACCGCAAATGGCCACAGAAAATAGGGGGCAGCCGCATGCATCATGGACGTACGAGCGACGTCCATGACCATGCCAATGCGGCGCTCAGCAATCCCATTTGCTGTGGAGAGTCCGGAAGCGTAAAGGTCTGGCGGATGCCTCGCGCACGGGAAGTAGGCTCGCAGAAGGCCAGAGGAGAACTCTCCGCCTCTGTCAGAGTGCAGACGCAGAACAGGAAAGTCCGAGCCGAAGCTCCTCCTGAGCTGGAGACGAGCTGCGCGGATCCAGTGGATCAACACCTCAGTGACATCGTCCTTGCTCCGCAAGGGGAAGACTGTGGTGTAACGCGAGTAGTCGTCAACCACCAGCAGAAAGTAGCGCTCGTGACCCTGTCCACGGACGCGGGCCGGGCTCCACACGTCCATGTGAAGCGTCTGCAGCGGGGCCTTTGTCGGGGAAACGGAGAGGAGTGAGGAGCAGCCGTAGCCGCCCCTCGACACAGGGACACGGAAGGACCAGGCCCCGAAGAAGGGGAGGGAGGGGACCGGGAAGACCAAAGACAAGGACACGGGAAGCCATGCCTCGGAGATGAGGCAGGGAGGGTTGACCAAGACGGTGGTGCCAGAGGAGAGTCTCGTGAGACAGGAGGCGACACGAGCATGGGGCAGACTCAGGACCAGACCTGGACGCTGCAGCAAACACCTGAGCAGACTGACCGACGCAGAGGAGACCAGGAGACCAGCAGCTAGGTGGACTGCAGAGCCAGTGGGTAGGACTCAGTGGTCAGGGTGTAGAGGCTCGACCCCGGCGACGTGTAACGTGGCCAGGTGCCGGCCTGTGCGAGCGTCCGAGCAGTGGGTCACCCGCTCACACTCGCAGGAGTAAACTGGTGAAACCCCGCACCTGCAGGTCAGCACCACTCACCAAGTTCGTAGAGAACAAGGGAGGTAAAGACCAGACAAGGTGCCAGAGGGGGCAGCCGGACACGGGAGGACAGTGGAGAAGTGAGAGAGGACAGACCCCCAGAGGGGTCTGCTAGGGCGACTGCAACCGGGCCGACCAAGCGGCGGTGAGTGTGGTGCGGTCTCGAAAGAAGGAGCGAGAAGCCCCTGAGTCAAGGTAAAGGTGAGGAGGCCGAAGCCGCGCGCGGTACCTGAGAGCGCAGACTCACCACTACCTGAGGACGCAGACGCACTGGCACCTAGAGCAACACCC